CTGGTTATTGTATGCTTGCCAACAGAATGAGGTTCTCGTTTTCTGTACCTTTACCAAGTCACTTGTTGGTAGGACCTTCTGGAAGACAAAACTAAAAGCTAATAAATGTGTACCTTCTGTAAGGAAAGTACTCATCCTTGGAGGGAAATGGAAGGGAAGAGGATATGGGGTAATGGAAGACTGTCTGATGCAGGGGATGTCAGGGAGAATTGATTCTGTGCTTCTGCAGTTATTTATATAGAAGTTCAGCAAGGGGAGGAAAGAGTCCTTGGGGTACACTGTCCCCCAGTCCTCTCTCTGTTCCAGTGTCGCTGTAGAGCTTAGCACACAGAAAGACAGCTGCACAAGGTGTAGGAGTGAATGCCACAAAGCTACCCGCCCAACAGGGCGGGGTCAAGGTAGAGATAAAAGGAAGGGAAAGGAAAAGGGGCTTCCCTTTTTCTGTTGGAAGCCAGCCACGCTTCTGACTCCTGGTCAGTGCGACTCTCTCTCTCTGGTAAATACATATATTGTTTTCCCTATATAGTATCGAGTATCGTTATATCTGGTGACAGAAGTGGCTTGGAATTACAGCCCACGCCTTGGAAAACACCTGAAATCGACATCCTCCGAGGTGAGTGCTAATTTGCACTTCAGCGGAGCACGCTCCCGCCCGGAGCCGCGGTCTCTGCTGCATCCAGAGCCACTGCAGCCCGAGCGTGCATCCGCCACACAGCCATCCCCCACAGCTCACCACGGCGAGAGAGGACCCTCCACCACACTCTCGCCTCGTGCTGTTCCAGCCGGTGGCCGGAGACCCCGCCCAGTCTGCCGCTGAGCGTACCCGCCACCGAAGCAGTCCACCGAAGCAGTCCACCACAGCGCGCGCGCTGAGCTGAACCTGCAGCTGAACCGCGAGAGAGCTGTTTCTCCTTCCCCGCAAGACCGCCGCCGCCACCGCCGGCGTCCCCGCCACCGGCACCTGCAGCGCGCCCAGCAGCAGCAGTTATCAGCACACAGTTATCTCAAAAGTCATAGAAATGAATACGACTCGAGTGTGTAGTGAGAACAGGCCCTGCTTCAGTGGATCTCGCCCCATCAAGGGAAGGAAGCCAGAGTGGAAAACGTAGGCTCTCATCTGATGACTGGAGTATGAAGTGGTCTCACTGCTCAGCAAGATGACCAGGACACTCTCCAATATGTGTGAACATTTCTGTCACTTGCTCTCATACAGAGATCAGCCATCACTCCCTCAGACGATGTCTTGTAAAAACAGTGTAAAGACTCTAATGTCCAATGTTTGGGATTCTGCTGCAGGATTTCCCGGTTGTAGCATACGGGTGAATGCGATTATTCGTTTATTTCATATTTGAAAGTTTCCATAATTGGTAGAACTATGTTATATGCCAAATCCAAACTGACAGTCTTCTTGTAGCTGCCCTTTGAAAGTCACAGCCTAAAACCCCGCGTCGCCCAGTTAAGATACCACAATTTCTTCTTGAATCCCTTACAAGGGCTATTCACCCAAGAGGCGCATGGACAGCCCCGCGCATGAGTTCATAATTTTGTGGTGATTTTGATGCATCCAATTGTCCCTAAGAACATCGCTGTGACTTTTTTCTCCAGAGTTTCCAACTGTAGGAAGACGGTTCTTTGGTCCATTTTCCCCTCAATATATGCTTTTATTTAAATTAGAAACATGAATGCTTCACATGTCAATCCCAGCTCCCTCTCCCACCCCCCCCCTCCCTTGTCCCTCCACTAGCTCCCCTCCAGCCTCCCACCCAGTTCCCACATCATTCCCCAGGGAGGGTGAGGCCCTCCTTGGGGGGGGATTTCCACAGTCTGTCATTTCATCCAGGGCAGGACCTAGGCCCTTCCCCATGTGTCAAGGCTGAGAGAGCATCCCTCTATGTGGAATGGGTTCCCAAAGTTCATTCATACGCCATGGTAAACACTGATCTACTATCTAAGGCCCCAGAGATTTCTGAGGGCTCCTCACTGACACTACAATCATGGAGTCTGTATCAGTCACCTGTTGGCCTCTCCATCTGGGGTTCAAGAGCTCATCCTTGTCCAGTCAGCTGTCTTTGTGGGTTTCACCAGCATGGTCTTGACCCCTTTGCTCATCACTCCTCCATCTCTGTCACTGGGTTCCAGGAGTTCAGTTCAGCATTTAGCTGTGGGTAGCTGTCTCTGCTTCCATCGGTCACTGGATGAAGGTTCTAGAATGGCATATAAGGTAGTTATCAATCTCATTATCAAGGAGGGGCCATTAATGTTGTCTCTGCACTATTGCTTAGTTTGCCAGTTGGTGTTATCCTTGTAGATCTCTGGAAATCTCACTAGTGCCGGCTCTCTCCTCAAACCTATAATGACTCCATCTATTATGGTATCTCTCATCCTGCTCTCCTCTATTCTTATCTTGACTCAACCTTCCTGCTCCCCCACGCCTTCTTTTCCCCTCCTCTTATACTCTTCTCTTTTTCCTGGCTCCCTTTCCCCTCCCCAGATGTTCCCAATCTGCTCAGGAGATCTTGGCTCATTCTACTTCTCTGGGGTATCATGCATCTCTCTTGGGAACCTCCCTGTTTCCCAGACTCACTGGTGCTGGGATTGTAAGCTGACACTCCCCTGATCCATATATAAAATCCATATATGAGTGACTATATACCATGTTTGTCTTTTTGTGACTGGGTTACCTCACTCAGCATGGTTTCTTCTAGTGCCATCCATTTGCCTGCAAATTTCAAGATTCCATTGTTTTTTTCTGCTGAATAGTACTCCATTGTGTAAATGTACCACATTTTCTCTATCCACTCTTCAGTTGTGGAGCATGTAGGTTGCTTCCAGGTTCTGGCTATTACACATAATGCTGCTATGAACATAGTGGAACAGACATCCTTGTTGTATGAATGGGCATCTTATGGGTATATGCCTAAGAGTGGAATTGCTGGGTCTTGTGGTAGACTGATTCCCATTTTCCTGAGGAATCTCCTCACTGGCTTCCAAAGTGGCTGTACGAGTTGTGTTTCTTATTAGTCTGTTATGGGCTTTGTTAGATATAGCACTCTTGTACATCAGGGTACTTTAAAAAATTTTAAATAGTAAAGGAACCGTGTGTATGAGTACCAAAAGGTGGAGAGGTATCTAGAACTTTCATTCTGGCACCCTACTCTGGTGTCCCTCCATCAGTCCAGTCCTATCACCTCTCCAGGACATGACACTCTAACCTGATTGGGTGAGACTAAACATGAAGAGCCTTCAGATGGGTTCTCCATGAGGCAATACTGTTTGGTCCTCATTTCCAATTGAGGAATTCATTCTGTGATGAGATGACTGTCTTTATGGTGATTGAGAGAGTAACTGAATTGTGTCATTTCTGTTATTGTAGCATTCCAAGGATAGTTTCCAGGCTAGAAACTAACTGCACTTCTTCATGTCACATCTTGTGTCCTTCTAGGGGAGGGATCTACCTGCCATCAGAGAAGGTCTCCTGGTCTCATTTATGTGGTTAGCAGAGGAATAAACTCTGAGTAGACTCAGGAAACACCCTTGCTGGCCTGTCTGCACTTACTCCCCAGCTCTGCATAACTAATTTGTTTTCATTTTTCCTCTTGCTCTCTCATGACAAGCATATTTAACAATGTTGCTGATCATGAGAATCTGATGCAGTATTGGACTGTTTCCCTCTATGTTAACTTTGACAGAACATGATTTCTAATTGGTGATTCTCACCCCCATATAGGGATTGCTTCGAAATGTTTGTAGACTGTTTTATACTCTCTCAGCTATCCTGCACAGGTCAAGAAGGTTGTCCTTGGAATCTTGTGTGACTAGGACGCATCAGAGCAACCATAAGATGGAGTTCTGTGGAGGATGGAAGCTTTGTCTATTCTTGGGAAATCCAGTGTATCCCCACAGAAGTCATCCCTATGAAAACAGCATGAGTCCAACTAGTTCAAATTCAACAGCAATACAACATTTATACCACTCTTGGTCTTTCTGTTGATGGTTTACCAAAATGCACAGATAAGGAAACCCTCTTTACTTTCTATCCTGACTCTGTGTTTTATATTTGAACAAGAGAGTTCATGATGGTGTCGACACTTTAAGGTGCACAGACAATAATGCTATAACACTGCGTCTTGGAGGACAAGGCAACTCTGTCAACCTTTACTTGGTGCAGGAGACATTTCCTGAGCATCATGTGATTTGCTGATAAAGTCCCAAATGATAAAGAAGGATAATGATAAACTGTAAGGATAAATTACAGAAGGAAAATAAATGTACCGGAAGGAAAACAAACATTCCAGTCAACTCTTAGCCTGAGGATGTTCAAGTATGTGAGAGGTGCCAGGTCAGATAGAGAAAATTGGATTTGCTACTCACAGAACCTTGTTTACACAACTTGATGGCTCTATTCTGGGATTTTTAAAAGTGTTTAAAGGAGATAATCTCCCTTTGTTGATGTCATTGTTATTTTGATGAAAATACTCTGATTGTAGCCATGCTATCAATGGCAAAATTACTTCACTCTTGAAATTCAGGCTTTGTAAAGCCAGAATGTGTGTTCTAAATAAAAACAAAACAAAACAAAAACAAGCATATATAAACTGAACTTATTGAATTCAGACATATCAGAGTTATAACAGAGTTCAAAACCAAGAAGGTTCTAAGTTGTCTTGCTGCTTCTAAGAACAAAATAAGTATGTTAGGTGGAGGGGTCCATTCGACGTCAATCAGTGTCAATCTAGAACTTGTGACAAAAGAAATCCAATTTCATGGAGCAGAAGAATGAGCACACAGTGCTCTCAATGACATGAAGAGGCCTCTTACAATCCCAGCTTGGAATGACACTGCTCTGGCCTCAGTGGTATCTGAGCCGGAATTCAGCTTGTTGCCAAAGTAGCAATTTCCACACTCTGAGGATTCCACAGCCTGACAGTCAGCTCCACTTCTAACTCTAAATTAAAATAAGTACTAACACCAAAAACACTTCAGATATAAAAACTTGCCTATAAACAAAACAATAAATTATATTTATTATAAAAGGTAATGTGACTCCCCACAAATATATGGACACAACTTCCACCAAAGTATTTGGTGTGCTGTTAGGTACATCAAACTGAATTTTTAAAGGTGTTTCTGTTTGTCATGATGTTGTTGATTTATAGTTTATTCCTGTGATACACCATGAATATTTCCAGTCTCTTATGTTTCTGATATGTCATATATAATTTTGTGTATATGAATATATATGATATCGAGTCCCCAAAATATACCATTTTTTATTCACTAGAGAAGAATCATAACAATAGAGGTGGTCGTGATGAAGTTCTGGTAAAGGTATGGTGTTTTGCAGGGGCATCCTGAATCAGCACCAATTTATTTCCCAACAGTTCTTTTGAAAAGTTGACGAAGACTTTGCAAAACTGTGAAATGACAAAAGGGCACACAGATTGAATAATTCTGAGTGAGTCCCTAGGCTGGTCTCCTCTGTCATCTCATTCCAAGGCAGCTTCCTTCTTCTCCTGAGTTTCTGACACACTCAGAATGTGTTTGCAACACTGTGTATTGCACAGTAATAGACTGCAGAGTCCTCAGATGTCAGGCTCCTGAGCTCTATGTAGATTGTACTGACTGCAGTCAATATGACCTTGCCCTGTATCTTCTGATTATAGCCAGTTCCACCATTCCAAGGACCAATCCATCCAATCCACTTCAGGCCTTGCCCAGACCTCTGCTTCACCAAGATACTTCTGTTGCTAGTTAAGGTGTAGCAACAAGTCTTGCAGGACATCTTAACAAAGGACCCATGCCTCACCAGCTCAGATCCAGACTGCTGCATCTAGACCTGGGAGTGGACATCTGTGAATAGAAAAGCAGAGTGGATGTCACTGTCGCCTGAGTGCATGGCCCCTCCTGAAGTCTGGAACTCAGAGTCCTTACCTGTAGGTGCTGTCATCAGGAAGAGGATGATCCAGCTCCGTCCTATTGTGAGGAACTGTGTGCTCAGTGACTATGAAGAGGACACCGATCCTATGTTGGTGGTGGTGTGGACATCTCTGTATTTATCTCCATAGACTCACATGATTTGCATATTCATGAGCAGGGTGCTTCTTAGATAAGGACCTAGTCTAGCTGGAGCAGAAGGCAGTAGAGGACACCTGGGTCAGGCAGAAGGATGTTGAGCTTCAAATCCTCATTCTGTCTGAGAAAGGAGCCATTCCTGAGACCTGTGCAGAACCTGTGGATATAACCTGAGCATAATCCCTCAATTTGCAAACATAATACCAACCAAGCTATTAGTTCCTTTTCCTGACAAAATTGATTTAGAGGTGGTGGGAGCGATGAGGATAATTGTGAATGGAAATTTCAAAAACTCCTAAATTTGCAGAATTTGTACTTTCCTCTTATATATACTAACTGTTAAAGTTTTCTTTTTCAGCATGCTGGAGGTATCTGTTCCTTGTTGTTTTTACTCTTTAACTCCCTTTCTTTTGTCTATTTGTTTGAGTTCAATAGTGATAAAGAAATGTTGTGGAGTTGATTTGTAAGGCCTTGTATAAAACAACATAAATTTTTTATGTTGAGCAACTTAGTCAAGATAGTATTTGATACTAGGCAGATCATCAGTCCCAAAGAATAAATAAATGTGATGCTAATTAGAAAATTGAAACCAACTTATCTTTTCATATGACCTGAATATATATATACATATGTAATAAGAAATCAAAGATTACACAAGAAATTATAACAAATAAACAAACTAGTTAAAATGGTACTATAAATCAAGTTTAGGTATATTAAAACGAATCAAAAAAGAAAAAAAGACATAATGACATATACCTAGTCCCTCTGAACTCTTACTCCCAAACTCCTATCATTCTTATATCTAATAGCCATTTACATACACACACACATTTATGCATAAATACAAACATGCAGCATACTCAGTTTGTTCAGTGTTGCATGTACATAATTGCAGGACTGACCACTCTCACAATGGAATTTTGAAAATATTCACACAGCATAAATATTCTCATGAGCCCATATGCACATTTTCAGGTAACTCAGCAGTTACAAGAAGAGAAAAAATGAATTAAGTAGTAAATAATGCTTGATAGACTTTTTTCTAAACAATACTTCTATATGTTCATAGATATGAAAAGAATTTCCATTTTTGATTTTTATTGATTCACAAATTAAAACCACATGGGAATGCCAATCTCATATCTTATATAACATGTCATAAACAAGAGAAAACAATGGATGGTGCACATATCAGTGTATTTCATTGGTTTGTGTGTATATGAGTGTGGTGAGTCTGGTGTACACTCTTCATAAGTTCTCCCATTCAACCAATAGGCTATATATGAGAGACAGTAACATGTGTTGTTGAGAGGTCTGCACCAACATGTGCAACTATGGCAGAATTATTCCTAGGAGTAATGTTAAGAAAAGGAATTCACTATGAAGCTGACAGTGTTTTGTGGGGTGTGAGAATTAAGGAGTTAATTGGATGATTGGCTTACTATTATCATCAAAATAAATGCAAAAATGATTAAAGACACAATAAAATGATTAAGAAGTGATGGAGAAGTCCTGTGTTTAGGTCAATAAAGCACTGTTGGCCAATAGGGAAGCAAGATGGGTGGGACTAGGAGTCCAGGAGGATTCTGGGAATGAGAGACACAGGGGGTCACGATGTAGCTGCCATAGGAGAAAAAGGTCCAGACCCATTACCTGGTAAGAGAAATACTTAGATTAACAGTTATGGGGTAAATACTTAAGTCAGAGATGGCCAGTAAGAAACCAAGCAAATGGCCAACAGCTTCATAATTAATACAGCGTCCTGTGAGTTATTTGGGGACTACAACATGGCAGAGCCTAGGCGGCTGGCAGGGAAAAACCAAAGCAGCAGGCAAGGAAAAAACTATACTCAACAAATGGTTGTCAGAATTGGTATATGAATTTCCATATAGAATGACAAAAGCTTAAAAGGGATTTTATAAACAAAAGAACAGAGAGAAGCACGGCTTTTCGGTAGCAGCATTTTTCTCAGGTGGGCTCTGTTTTGCTAGAGACAAGCAGAGACTCCTGACTCAGCATAAGCAAAAAAAAAAAAAAAGCAAAAAATAAAACCCACCAAGGTTCTTTTTTATGAGGCTCTGCTGACGATTGAAAAGGTGTGTATGTACAGCTGGAAGTGGCAGTGACCACACCTCCAAGCCAGCAGATTTTGCTGGATGTCAGCATAGACTGTGGCTATGAGCTGGAGTCAACTTATGCCGGCCATCTTGGAAAAACGGCAGTTTAAACAGCCATGGTTTTAGCAGATAATACACGTGGCCAGAAAAACATAAAGATTTACAGTAAAGTTAGACTTGGATTAAGTAAAACCTCTAAAGGTTTACAGTGTGTTTAAAAATATACATAGGATTGAGAGAGAAAAAGAAACAGCACAGTGGTAAATAAATAGAGAAGCCATGCCGATAGGATTTACTCCAGAGGCAGAGGCAGGCAGATTTCCAGAGAAACCCTGTCTCAGAGAAAAAATAAGTAAAAGTAAAAGAAATAGAGTAATATAAGCTACATAAAGATGGAAAACACACAGAAAGTCTGGATACTGTGTGCTACTGTGTTTTTCAGTTTTTTTTTATTGCTAAAGAAGGAACAACTGCTCAGGTACACTTGATTATAAATGCTGCTGAATTAATTCAACTTATATCTTTTGAAAATGCCTTGACTTCAAAATTTAAGTATAAGGATATGTTACTTTGGAAAAGATATTTTATTTATGTTTCCACAGAAAATGGAAAGCTATGGATTCCTTCCAGGCTTCTGTGTTTTGATGAACCTAGACCCCCAGAAGCAGTGGGCCAGGTGTTCCAACAATCAAGACAGCTAAGATAATGCAGCCTTACAGACCCTGAAAATAAGGACTTATACAGATTTCTGAGCTTTGTCATGATCCCCATGGTATGAACAGTGCCCCCATCCAGAAGGAAGCAATTTGGAATGAGCAACGTCCAAATTCCCATATTGTTTATAAATCTTTGTTTGCATTTAAATGGGGTTGCTTATAATTAGTTAATGACCACAACCAATCTCTTTTTAATGGTAAAAGGGGTATTATGGTATGGAAATTAATACTTGGTATGGGTATAGTTTTTCATTTATTGATACAAATTCAAGGTCAATTTTGTGATATGTGTATTTCTCCTCTTGTTTAAGTATTGTGCTTATACCGATCTTTTAAAACATAGTGCATAATAAAATACAGACTATAGATAGTTACTTATAATAGTCAGAAATCATAGTTAGGTTAGTTAGGTTTTCTAGATATACAGAGATATATTTGAGATGGATAGTCTTCAAACCTTTCAAAGACCTTCAGAAAATGGCATTTAAAATGGTTTTTCTTGACAATGAGAAATGTCTACTCCTGGCATCATCAATTACATTCAATTACATCTGAGAGAAAGATGGGCATCCAAGAAACTTGTTATGGAGTTTGCTTTCAACATGGCAAGATTAGCCATTTGAGCAAGAAACTGCTCTTGCCTAGACTGTTTGACTGTTGCTGTATAATCTAGATAAGCAGGACCCATAGGAAATGCTGAACTCAAACAGTCCTTCATGGTTCCTGATTCATGGAAGAGTCTACCAGACTTTTTGTAGGACACAGAAAATGACTGACAGACTTCCAATTCTAATGTACAGTTTGAAATTTCCTGCTTTGCTGAGAAATCTTCCAGGCACACTGTGGCCTATGGGCTGAAGATGGATGCCCCAATGTTACAGAGGAACTTCGGGTGTCCAGGTAGCTCGATGTCTCTGTCAATTCTAGTGTTTATATATTATCCTTCTGTGGTCTTTGATGGATTTGAAGACACATAGTTATAATCATAGTTTTCCTAGTTATGATAAAAGATAAATTGCATATAAGACTTTAGACTCACAAAGATAGGATAGATGATACTTTCTTTAAATCTTACTAAATGTTAATGAACAAAATATTATAACTGTATTCTTACTTGATAACTGTTGTTATACATAATTTGACTATGTTAAAGTTAAAACCTTTCTTTTTATTTAGACAGAAAAGACGAGATGATGGAGAAGTCCTGTGTATATGTCAATTAAGCATTGTTAGCCAAGAGGGAAGCAAGATAGGTGGGACTGGGAGTCAAGGAGGATTCTGGGAAAGAGAGACACAGGGAGTCACAATGCAGCTGCCATAGGAATAAGAGGTCAGGACCCTTTCTCCAGTAAGAGGAATACTTAGATTAACAATTATGGGGTAAATGCTTAAGTCAGAGATACCAAGTAAGAAACCAAGCGAATGGTCGACAGCTTCATAATTAATATAGCATCCTGTGTGTTATTTGGGGACCGCAACACGACAAAGCCTAGGCAGCTAGTGGGGAAAACCAAATCGGCAGGCAAGGAAAAAACTCTACTCAACAAAGAAAATATTAATCACAGTATTTCAGCAAGAAGTCATTGACAAAGAACAGCAAAAAGAATCTATGAGAACACTGTGATGTTGTCTTGAGATGAAGATCACTCTGTCCTATGTGTAAAATGGAATGAACCTGAGTAAGTTACACCACATGAGATGATCCAGGGACATGAAGACAAACGCTACCCAACCTGAGTTACATGAGAAATGTAAAGGTGGAAATCCTGGCATGGGGAGCATTGTTCTGATTCCCAGGGGCTGACATTGTCACGGGAGGTGACAGTGTAAGAGCACACATTCAGACTACACAGAGGGAATTTACATTCCAAAACTGTTTAATGATGTATGCTCAGTATATGAACCAGAAAGAATGAGACAGCAAGTGAATTGCCCAGTCTTGTGTTTCCATACCATACTCATAAATTAAATTTGGGATAATAAGTCATTGATACAGAAATTTGTGATTTAACAACCTATGACTTTTAAAAACCAAAGTTCAAACACTGATGACAGTGTATAAATTCATTGTTGATGTCTACTCTACGTAGTCATGATTGTACATGAATAGGACACAAAAATATAATTCCTGGATCCATTGCATTGGTGTTTACACACATGCTTTTCTAATTTTCAAATTTAATCTTCTAAAATGTTTTCTCCATCCTCAGTGTCTCACAGATTCATCACCATCTCCCTACCCACCTACTGTCACGTTTTTTTCTCTCTTTTAAAAAGAAAAATAAAAAGCCAGGCGGTGGTGGCACATGCCTTTAATCCCAGCACTTCGGAGGCAGAGTTCGAGGCCTGCCTGGTTTACAGAGTGAGTTCCAGGACAGCCTCCAAAACAATATAGGGAAACCCTGTCTCAAAAAAAAAACAAAAGAAAATTTAAAAAAGAAAAAGAAAAAAAAAACAAACCACAAATGCAAAAAAAATCCGTGGAGTCCCTGTTTTGTTCTCAAGCTACTCCTCTGAAGTGTGGTTGAAGTAACCTGTGTCATTGTACTGTGGAAAACTGACTTCCTCCCAGAAGTTATCAATTGTGAATGGCTTCATTGCTAAGAGTGGGACTTAGTGTGCACTGCCACTGCTCCATGTTTGGATTTTTGTCTGGCTCAAGTCAATGGGGTTCTTCATTGGTCTAAACAGTAAAAGAAACATAGAGTCAATTAAGGAGGGAAATGCTGAGAGATCAGAGAGAAGGAGCAAGCCAAAGCCCCCTTTACCTCATTGGCTTCCCAGCAGAAAAGAAGCAAGTTCCTGTTTATTCCCACTTATATCCTGTCTCTGTCCAGCCATCTCACTTCCTGTCTGTCTGTACATTCCTCCAGAACTCTACGGTTAGCTAGTGGCAAGCTCCATCCTCTGATCTTCATACAAGTTTATTTGTACAACAGGCTTGAGCTTCTCTATGTCTTGTTCACAGTCTCTGTAAGTTCTTATGTGCATCTGCTATATGGTGTCCTAGAAACAGTTTCCTTGATGCTGCCCATAAAATTTGGTTCTTGCAATCATTCCACCCACTCTTCATACTTTCCTGAGCACTGAGGGGGGAGGGTTGTAACAAAGACATCCCAGTTAGGAATGAGCATGCCAAAGTCTCTCCCTCTCTGAAAGCCATCAAGTTTTGGATTTAATGTTGCTCTTCTTCAACACAGCAAGTACGAAGCAGAACGTTGTGGCAGCTGACTGACCTCTGCTGCCAACTGCAGAGCCTTTCTTGTCCCTGAGATATGACCTCATCATAAAATAGAACCTTCCTGTTTTTCTTAAGTAGATTCTTGTTGAACTTTCTAGCATAAAATGTGGAACATCACATCTGGTGTAAAACCACTTTCCATGGACAGGATGAGGTCTGCCCAACCTTCCTGAACTCAGGTATTGGAAGGTGTCATTTCATGCTGTCCCTGAGAGAACTGATACCACCTTCTCCAACCTCCATGTTCCTTGTACATTACTAACTGGCAATGAATTCCTTTCAGTGATTGGGGCAGTGGTAGTTTGAATTAGAAGTTTCCCCAATGGCTCATATATTTGAAAACTTGGTCCTCAGATACAGGCACTGTCTCGGAAGTACTCATAGGTGTGGTCTTGTTGGAGAATGTGAGTCAATGGGGGAAGGTTTAGAGGTTCTAATATCTCTTGGCATTTTCAGTGAGCCTCTCTGCTGCCTACTTGTGGATCAAGCTATGGGTCATCAACAACTGCTCCACCCATTAAGCCTTTGGTTTGCAAATATTGAACACTAATGTTGGAAATCATAGTCCCAACTAAGTTCTTTCTTTCTTTACCTGTTTCCTTTGTCATAGTGGGTCATGGTGTTTTACCACAGCTATAGAAAAGTTACTAAGACAGACGTTCTCAGTTTTTTGCACACGGAGCAGAACTCCTCAGAGAACAGAGATGGAATTTCTGCGGCTGTTAGAGAAATGAGCTGGCTCTGTCAGTGCTAAATTTACAACCCAAAGATCCAATGTGATCCCTGTTAGATTTAAATAAAATGGCAAATATGTGAGAGAGATTTTCTAGGTGAGTGCATCTCACATCTCATGAACATTAGCTTATGATGAGATGCATATGTTCAATACCTTTCTAGTTGTGTAATCCCATATTTATGTCCTGTAGAAGGAAGTAAACCAACAGTCACCTATAGCACAAATATTTAGAGAGACTTTCTGGGAAATGTAAGATGAAAGGAACCTAAGGTGTTGAGAAGTTTGCTCAATTATGTCTTTTATAGTCTTTGGGATAGATGTGTGTTCTGTGTGTGCTGTGTGCCCCCTGGTGGCCATGGGCGCCCTCACAGTGAAGTTTATGTCTGGGTTCACACTGAGATTCCCCACACTGTGTCTGTAGTACAGTAGTAAGTGGTGGTGCCCTCAGATTCTACACTGTTCATTTGCAGGCACAAGGTGTTCTTGGCATTGTCTCTGGAGATGGTGAATCGGCCCTTCACGGACGATGCATGGTGTATGGTACTGACATCATATTTAATTATTCCAACCCATTCTAGCTCCTGGCAGGGTGCCTGGCAGACCCAGATCATCCAGTAATCACTGAAGGTGAATCCAGAGGCTGCAGAGGAGAGTTTCAGGGAACCCCCAGAATTTACCAGGCCACCCCCAGACTCCACCAGCTGCACCTCACACTGGACATCTGCAAACATAAAAACCCTGGTCAAGAAATCATCAGATATATCAATTGTCCTTCATGTTAATGTTCAGTCATACACTCAGCATCTACTGTTCCCCATAAATTACCTTTTAAAAGAGCAACAAGGAAAATCCTGCTCAGGCCCAACTCCATGCCCATTGTTGAGAGAAGTACTGAGATCCATAGCTGAGCTCCTCTGTCTGAGCTGCAAGGTCAGGGCTGGGCTGCTTTTCATGAGCAGAGAGAGGGCCCATTTGCATGTCTTCCTGCCATACAGCAAGTTCTGTACTGGAGCCTGGAGATGGCAGGTTCTGGGTTATTTGTCAATGTGCTGGAGGTTATAATATTAATGTAGGAAAAATTGGCATTACATTATTTTCCAGTGGTCATTGACTTCCTTATTAATATTTCCAAACAGGAGGCATGTTTTGATATTCATTTCAAATCCACTTTTCATGTCTTGGTTTATCAATAATAGTAACTTTGCTTTCTAATTCTCATTACGTTAAGTGTTAACTGTATTGTGTGGGACTCACCACTGAAGGACCCTGAGTCTGCTCCAGGTATGAGTGTAGCTGCTTCCTCAGACTTGAAACTCCCTCTCTGTAGTGAGATCATGAGACATGCCTGAATTTCAGGGTTCTGCTAAGCACATGCAATTAAATGATGTTCCTTTATGAGTGTGGCCACCATCATGGTGTCTCCTTATAGCAATAGAAACCCTAACTAAGACATAAGTCATCTCAGATTTTATATGGTTATCACACAACGGACTGATGGAAAGGGCTGTTGAGGACTTGGATGACTTGGAACGATCATGTGTTGCTTGTAGGAAGGAATGTAAATTAGCCCAGATCTTAGTAGGTTTAGAATGGAGGTTCTTAAAATGTGGTCAACAGAATCGCCATGACGAGCTGTCCCACTCTTGGTACTTACCACACACAGGAGAAATATTTTGTCTCTGGGTTCTGAGAGGCTAAGAATCCCAGGCAATGGGCAGTTTGTATGTAAACATTGTTTGTCCAGGGCCTCACAGAGACAGGACCTGAGCAACAGCTGAGCTCCCAGGGGCTGATGTTCGTGTACAGTCAAGAGGACAGAAGTTCTATTTTCTGGTTAAAAATAAGAAGGTGTAGATGTGAACATGAATTAATAAATGGACTATTGGTTGACAACTCTTATAAATTCTCTTATATAAAGTCCTCAGGGAGTAAATTGGGTGTTAGACCCTGTAAGGATTACCTGTCCCTGGACCCCTTCCTTTTGTTCTTTGTCCTCTACCCTGTACTATAACAATAACAACCACTTTACTAATCAGAAAATCCAATTGAGGCTCTTCCCTGAGTGTCTTGAGAGAATATTCTGTTCAGTATCTCTGTATTTCTTCCCATATGATCCCAGTGAACATCAAAGATACATTTCTGCTGTAATAGGTGAGACTAGGTTAGTTTGTGCTCATTTGGTCCTGTAGTGAATTGTCATTTTAAAACAAAAATCACAACCAAACAAATCAGAATCCTTTATGTACAATGACAAAGTGGGTCTTACAGACAGGAAAACCTGAAAAGGATCCAGTCCCCACACCAGAGAGGAACTCTTAAGTGTATCTGCACTTGCTCTTAGGTTACTCTTGTTCTCTGTAAGTGCTGAACACACCCTGATGATCCCAGCTTGTATTGGGGAGATGTGATCAGGACTGACACTTAAGTCCCCACATTCTGTGTCTTTCAGCATAGTATCCATTTTCTACCGGTCTCCAGACAACCTGAGAATATGCAACATCCAAGGTAGTTGTGGGTTAAATTTCAATATTAAGATGGTTGATATATCTCTGCCCACCCCTCCTTAACTAAAGATTGCAGCTTCCCAATTTTAAACCTGTGGAACTTACTGCACTGTGCAAGGAATTGCAGTTGTGGTTAATACATAGGCAGTGGATTATGGCATTCTCAAGTGAGTGACTTGGGTTCAAGGAAAAGAAAAAACCCTAGTCATCTGTAATCATTTCTGTTCTGGTTCCTTCAAGGGAAACGATGCAAAAATTTGGTTAACAGGGTTTCATGTGCATAAGTGAGGGGAGGATATCCTGATGGAGTCATGAATCTCTCTTGCTGGAGGCTGTCTGCACCTGTTTTTCTAGTCTCTGCTTAATGTGTGTTGTGAGCGCCACCTACTGAACAGCGTTCCTATTGAGTCAGGGCTGACTTAGTCTGGGATTCAGCTTCTAATATGTCACTGCAGAATCTGTCTGCTGAATGGGGCCTGTGGTAGTTTGAGTGCTATTGACCCCATAAGCTCATAGAGAGTGTCATTATTAGGAGGTGTGGCCTTGATGGAGTGGGTATGGCCTTTTTGGAGGCAGTGTGTCACTGTGAGGGTGGGCTGTGAGGTCCCATATATGTTCAAGCCACACCCAGTGTCTCAGGCCAGTTCCTGTTGCCTGTGCATCAAGAAGTAGGAACTTTAAGCACCTTATGTATTGCCATGTCTGCCTGCATGCTGCCTTGCTTCAAGCCATGACAATAATGGACTGAACCTCTGACCTGAAAGCAAGGTTTTCTAATTAAATATTTGCTGTAAGTGCTGACATGGTTATAGAGTCCCTCACAGCAATAAAAACCCAAACTAAGACAGAAGTTGGTGCTGGTGACTGAGGTGTTACTGTGATAGGCCTGACCATGTTTTCATTTGGAGGCCTTTGGACTTTGGTGGTTTGAGTTAGAAAAGCTATGGAATGATATAAGCACGGCTTAACGGGTCATACTCAAAGGAGCATGGAAGATTTGAACCGTGGGCACCTGGCTCAATAGGTTTCAGGGGCAAAGAATTTTAGTATGTTTTCTAGATATGGTTCTTTTTTATTCTGTCTTTACTTTGAAAACAATCTTATTTTACATACCAATCAGAGTTCACTCTCCCTTCCACCCTCCCACTCCCCCCACCACCTCCCCATCGAACCCTCAATCCATTATCCAAAGAGGGCGAGGCCTTCCATAAGAGATCATCAAAGTCTGTCACATCATTTGGGGCAGGACCAAGGCCCTTCATCTATATCTAGCCTGAGAGAGGTATCCCTCCATGGGGAATGGGCTCCAAAAAGCCTGTTCATTCACCAGGGATACTGGTTCCACTGCCAGCAGACCCACAAACTTCCGAAGTCCCCAGATGGACACCCACCTTCAGGGAGTCTAGTTCAGTTTCATGCAGGTTCCCCAGCTGTCAGTCTGGAGTCCTTGAGGTCCCCCTTACTTGGGTCAGGCTTCTCTGTGGGCTTTCCCAACATGATCTTGACCCTTTGCTCATATTGTCACTCTTCCCTCTCTATGTCATCCTTGAGGTATGAATCCATGATGGAGAAGAGGTAAGTGATCATATTAACTTTCACTCAGTGTCAACAAAGTTCAAGTGGGCCCCAATTCTAGCCCTGATAATTTTAGGGACTGGTGTAACCAGTTGAACTGCCATAGCCACCTCCTTGCTGGGAAACACAGCATTAAAGAACTCAGTGCCCAGATAGACTAAGACTCAGGTCTTGTAGAGAAATGTCTTTCCAGATTGAAGAGCAAAGCTGACTGCTTCACAAAGGAAGCTCTGCAGAGTGGAATGAGACTGCACCCTCTTTTATGAAGCAGGGACATTGCATGACCTTAGGAGAGACATGATGATTCTATGCCAACCAAGCAGTGGTAATTAGGAAAAACCTTGCTATGGTCAAGAAAAGGAAAGGATACTTGGTTTGGAACATGGGAATTAGCCATGAGGCCCGTGCCTAACTACCTTACTGTCAGGAATATCAGGCCATTAACTGGGCTAAAAGTGGGACGCCATTATATCGGCACCTATTCCCACCCTGACCCTGATATTTGTGTGTGCTGTGCACCCCCTGCTGGTTCACAGCACTCCTGCAGGGAGGTTAGTGTAGGGGTTCACAGTGAAGTCCTCTCATTATGTCCTGCACTGTAATATTTGAGTGTCTACCTGCTGTATCATGAGCTCAGGGGTCAGAACTTCACAGGAGATATTTAATCCTGAGATGAAATCAGGACCAAAGTAGCATTTACAGCATTAAAGTATCACTTATTGTCCTGAAGGTTTGGCTGTTAGTAGAGAAAAAATTTGCATGCCTGAAGCTGAGGTTTCATTCCCAGCACTGCACAGAAAGTGAAGATTGAGGAGCAGGAGACTCATGTGCCCAGGTCTTGCTTTGTCTATATGAACTTTGTCTCAATAAAGAGAAGAAGGAAGAAAGGTAGAAAAGAGAAACATCACTGAGTGTGAATTCATATTATAAATAATGCTATAACTTTGCAGCCTTACTTTATTAGGCTTTCTGTATATAAACTCCTCTGCTGTCTCACCAGAAATAATTATACCAACTCATGGGAAGATAAGACATGAAAAGCCTAAAATTTGACAATGTAAGGAATGTTGTATAAGGTTCACTGAATAATTAGCACATACATCAAATTGACTTAACTGAATGTGGCTGAGGCCATAGCTCAGCAGTATAGTATGGCATGCAGAAAGCTAAAGGTTTTATCCTAAATAGTGAAAGAATTGCTATATGTATGTACTGTTATGTTGATTAGGTATTCTAAGGACAAATGGTGAGCTGTGCCTCAGTTGCTTTACAGATCCGTAATGAGGTGCTGTTGGATCTCGCTGTAGCAGTGACCACTAATGACGAACTGAACTGAGAGACAGCACAAATGAAGGACAGTGTCTACAGTACTCTACCAGAGCAAAATCCAACACTCTGTAGAACAAAGGTGACCAACAGTTGGTAAGATTGTGTAAAGTGACAAAGGGACACTCAGATTTAATATCTCTGAGTAAGTCCCCAGGCAAATCTTCCTTGTCATCTCAGTCCCAGGGCAGCTTCCTGCTCTTCTCGGGTTTCTGATACACCCAGGATGTGGTTGCAACACAGTAATATGTCCAACAGTAATAGACCACACAGTCCTCAGATGTCAGGCTGCTGAGTTCCATGTAGGCTGTGCTGGAGGATTTGTCTGCAGTCAGGGTGGCCTTGCCCTGGAAATTCTAATTTTACTTAGTATCACCATAAATCCATCCAATCCACTTGAGGCCCTGTCCAGGCTGCTGCTGCATCCAGTTTATATAGTAGTCAGTGAGGGTGAAGCCCAAAGCCT